GCGCCCGGAACATCAGTGAAGCGTCGCTCTCAACAATTGGACATTTCCGAGACGTCCCTTAGGCGAATTTTGAAAAAAGACCTCGGTATGACACCGTACAAAGTTCAATTGGTTCAAGAATTGAAGTCACGAGACCATCCGATGCGGTTTGCCTTTGCCGAATGGGCAGATGAGCGCTTGGCCGAAATTTACGAACTTGTATTCCATAAGTAACCGGAAGGATTGTACTTTAATATGAAAAAATAAATTTGATGATCGGATGAACCGTTTTTTTTATTGCATTTAAAAAAAAGTTACGTGGCGGACCCTGTATATATAAATATATAAATATTAAAAAAAAATCACATGTATGTATTTATGTGTGAAAATATGAAGACCTTGGTCATATATTATATAAGCTTAGATATATATATTTATATTAAGAATATGAATTTTTACAAATTATTTTTTTTCAATTTATTTATAGTTTCAGTACGATTTTGAGGAAGAGAAATTGTTCTTGTTGCAAAATAACAGCGTGTTTAATTATGTGCCAAATTTTGAAATACTATTAAGCCGAAAAATTGAAATGCAACAACCGTAGACGTTTATTGGCAAGAATAAAATTTACACAAATACATATATACATACATACATTTATAGTATTCATGGTATGTACATGCAATGTGTTCATGCCGATAAATCTAACATTACAGCATTCAAGTAAATATTCCACTAGTACATGCGCTACAAAAACTTAATGTGCGTACATAATTACAAATAATTGTGTACATATATATATTTTATATATGTACATATATTGTATATATGTACAAGCAAAAGTACTGCCTGCACTAGCATACCGTTTGGGTGCGTCGAGTATGGGCCTCATAAATGTTTGTTTGTAAACATTGCAAATTACATTGCCGAAGAATTTGTTTATCCATAAAATAAGTGTACATATGTATGTACGTGTACGTATTAGAAATATATGTATTGTATTTGTATATTTTGAGGATGGAGATGCAGCAAGTACAAGCGTGTGTTTATGGCTGTAGTATAGAAATTATAAAAACATACTATACATATATACATATGTATGTATAATTAATCAAAATGTTGGCTAAATTAAGCATGGAAATTATTCAAAAAAAATAAAATAATACAATAATAAATTTTTTTATTTGGAAAACAACTTCCGAGTGATGTCAAAATTATTAAAATCTCTTCAATCTTTGAAGTGAGCGATTTATAAATCGCAATTAATTTTTGTTCTATATTTTGATATACGAGTACACATGTACATACATTATTATAAGGGAAGTTGGAAAGGTGTGAAAGGTGTTATTACCAATAACGAATAGAAATGTGTTAATAATATTGGTCTAGTAAAAAGTTATCCATTATTCTGGCAATATATGTATAACTTTAGTGTTCCGTACCCTGTATTGGATTGCATCCAGTGAAGACAAGAGAAGGGAAGAGAAGAGCAAAGCTGATCATTTACCTCAATAGTGTCTGAGCGCTTGTCAAGATGGCCTGCCAGCAACCGTAAAAATTCTGTATTCTGCAATTATTCTTCGATAAAGAAAAAAACGCAATCTAGGCAGCTGAAAACGTGAATATTCTTTATGGTACGGATAACCCAAGGGCAATTCGTGTACAATTTTGGTTTTGTCGATCTCGTGGCAGTAATTCTTATGTGAAACATACTCCACATTGTGGAAGGCCAATTGTCGAAAATTTCGATAAAGTAATGGAAAACGTGGAGTCTGACCATCATGCTAGCATTGCTTCGATTGCCCAAGAAAAAAAGTTTGAAAATACTAGAAAAAAGTTGGGTACCCAGAGAAGCTCCATTATGACTGGTGATGAAAAGTTGACCAGCTACAGCAAAGTCAAACGAAAACGGTCGTGGTCGAAGAGCAGTGAGCCAGCATAAATGGACTGCATTGGCCAGGAATGTTGTTATGTGTTTTTTGGGATTGTCAAGCTCTTAACTCGTTCGCCTGAGGGAAGTTATCGCACAGAAGCGCCTAGCTTTGGCCAGCAGCAGGAAAATTGTGTTTCATCAGAACAACACCAGACCACATACAACTACAGTGACTCGCCAAAAGTTCCGTGAGCTTTACTTGAGGGATCTCATGCATCCACCTTATAGCATGAACGTCGCACCAGGCGCTTACCATCTGTTTTAATATAAGGCAAATATTTTGGCTGGCGTAACTGGTCCCAATATTCGCCACTGGAGAGAATGGCTTCTTTGAGAAAGGCATAACGCCTTCAGTAAAATATACATACACATATAAGTCAGTCCTTTGATCAGTAATTTTTTCAGCCAATCTGGCAGTCCAATTAGTAATCAATAAGTAAGTCACTTAGTTCTTCATATGTCGACCCGCTCTTAAGTCTGTTTTTTGGTTAGTGATTTAGTCATCTCCTTAGTCGCGCCGTCAATCATTTCCGTCTCACTGCGAAAATTTTGTTTATTTCATTTGTATTTATTTGTTTATAATAATGTAGCAGGTTTAGTTTTCAAAATTTGTTATTATTCTTATTTGTTTGCCTTACCTACTTTGTTGCCTTTTTCAAATTTATAAATTAGCCTTTTCATTTAAATAAAATTCAAATATTTATGTTTCTTCATTTCACGTGGATTTTATTACGAACACTTGACGGCGCAGCTGGTGTTGAAAGCTTAAACAGCGTGAGATTTTCGTTGCGTTATAATAAATACATACATATATTTAAATGCCTAGAGCAAATTTAAGTTGAATATACGAGTATAAAGAAAGGTGAGACTTTTGCAAACTTTTTAGTGACAATGATTTGAGAAGAGTTCTGTGTCATATGTATGACTGAGAGACTCTCTATAGAAAAAACTCTCTCGCAGATGTAGCTGTTTCTACCGTAGCTAACACTCCCATCGTCAACCGTAAATCTTGAGCTCATTTAGTGCTCTGTCAAATTTTTTTTTAATTAAGTTATTAATTTAACTTTTCTGGATATGCAATCCTTTCTCTTTATTGAAGACTTTGTTTACCATGCTTAGAATTGTTCGATTTATGTTTTTGTCTCACTAAAGGAGGAGAGAGGAGAGGACGAAATAACTGAACAAATGGCTTACTCGCTTAATTATTTGATGAAATATTCAAGTGACTGACAAAAGTATAGATTTTAATGGTCGACTAAAAGAGAGATTAAATGGCTGAATTAGTGGCGAAATAACTGACCAAATGATTAACTGCTTGAATGGTCGACTAAAAGAGAGATTAAATGGCTGAATTAGTGGCGAAATAACTGACCAAATGATTGACTAAATGGCTGATTAAATAACTAGATGAATAGCCGACTAAATGAGAGATTAAATGGCTGAATTATTGGCGAAATAACTAACCAAATGATTGACTGCATGGCTGATTAAATTACTGATTAAATGACCAACTAAATGAACCAAGCTGTATGACCAGCCAAATGGACAATTAAATGATAAATTGACTGAGTGACCGGCGAAATGTTTGACCAAAATAAAGACAACCTGATGGAAAAAGCCGCTGACTAAATGCCTGACTAAAAGGCTAAACAAATGACTGCCGAACGGCTGACTAAATGTCTGAGCAATTGAGTGATTAAATGGCTTACTAAATGAACTATTAAATTAAAGGCCAAATGGTTGACTAAAATATGACTTATTATTTGACTGAGTGTCTGGAACTCGTCTCGCTTAAATGTCTGAATAAATAACGCAAGCGGATGCCAAATTACTGATCCAGTGACTGACCAAATTTCTGACAAATTCAATGATTGGATGACTGCCCAATAATTAAATAAAATTGTTAATTTAATTAAATGAAATTAAATCACTAGTTAAACTAGTAAGGTGCCGACTAATGTTTAATTGAATGACTGACTGAAAGGCTGACTAAATGTTTGATCAATTGACTGCTGGAATGACTGACTAAATGACTGATCAATATAAAGACGCACCGAATAATTAAAATAATTTATTTCACTGCTCTAAATTCAGCACGTTTTTTGTGAATTCAACTAAACTGACGGCTCTTTTTAGTTGCTGTTTCTGTTGCTGCTATTGCCTGCTGCCCAGTTGGCCGACACTGAATGAGGCGCGAGTGATGGAAAGCAATAAATTAAAGAATGTGTTATTTGCGTGTGAAATCGAAATTTAAATTAAAGCAAATATATGTGGGAAGAAAAAACACAGGAGATCTGCCAGAGTGGGCTGTAAACATATTTACATGCACGTATGCATTCGAATATACCGTTGTATGTATTTTATGTTTTGCTGTTTTTAGCACGCGTAGTAATTTGGAAAAGTGTTTTATTTCTTTTTAATTACATTCAATTTTTATTTTCCGCATTAGAAGCTAAACAAATGGTGTTGAGAGATGGCCAATCATATTCATGACGATGTTCATCAATACAAATACACAAAATATATATATATATATATAAGTATGTTTGTGATCGTACAATGAACACTCTTTAGCGTTCCTAATGATAATGTTGCGTGTGTGAATGTTGTCATTATGATGATATTAAAATTTTCATAAATTGTTGAACATTTCATAAGTCTGTACGAGAGTCATGCTATTAATAAATGTTGTTGTTTGTGTGTTGAATTCTTGAATTAAAAATTCTTTTGTGATTAATTTAACTATAAATAATTTTATTGTTAGTGTGGAGATTTATTTATGAATTTGCTACTTTTTTAATTAAATTGTGTTAGTGCCTTTCACACTGAGCTGCGAGTACATTTAATTTATACAAGTTTTATTACCGAAATCAGTTCACTTAAGAAAATGGTGAAACATAAAGCAAAGTTCAAAGTGTTGGCCAAAGAAGAAAAATCAGTATAAAATAGACCAGTCTGGGGCATTCTTCCGAACAACGGGGGCAATAATTTACTAAGTCGAAGAAAACCCAATATTTGAGCAGCTGAGTAAGTGAATTTTGGAATTGATAATAAGATAATTTTTTTAAACATCTCCACACACACTTACTGTCAAACCATGCACCAACGGCACCGGAAATGATATTGTCAAAATAATCACCCACAGCGTGGCAATTGCGATTTTCGTCACCTTCTCCGTACGCAATTGGCGCGAACGTATCGGATGCACGACAGCCAAAAAGCGATCTACCGACATCAAAACGAGCGTATAAATACTCGCAAAAGTGGTGACCACAATTAAATATTGTACCGTTCGACACCATAAATCCCCAAATGGCCAATATTCCGTTATATAATCTGTAGCGGTGAATGGTATGCAGAAGACGACGAAGAGTAGATCGGCAACAGCTAAATTGACAATCAAAAGATTTGTTGTGGAATGCATTTGTTGGTTGAAGAGCACGACGAGTATGACGAGAGTGTTGCCGAAGAAACCGGATAATGCGAAAATGCCAAAGCAGAAGGGTACAACAAGGCGCACGAAGCTGCGTAGTTCTGGTGATAATTCATCGATTTCCTCATATTGTTCATTCTCGGGATTGCTGAAGCTCTGCGTGGTGGCATTTAGTAAGACGTTGGTGGTATTCTGGATTTCTAACATTTTGTTAAACACCTGCTCGGTTTTGTTGCTGTTTATGTTGTAGTATGAGGTGTCGTTGTAGATTAGTTCGTTGCTGTTGTTGTAATTCAATTCATTTGGGGGCAATTTGAAGCTAAGGTCCATCGCTACCGCAGGGACGTTCATACTTTAAGTGAATATGTTGTTCATTTTCAAATTATTCATTTTATAACTTTCAGTATAAATTTTAAATTTTATATACAGTATTTTTAATTTAATTTTACTTTAACGAAATTTATTACTAGTTTTATTTGTTTTTGTGTATTCTAGCCTATTTTAATTTTTTCTTTTCTTTTACTTCATTTTTTGTTTTTATATCACTTTGTTTAATTTAATTTAATTTTATTAAACTTTATTTTATTTTATTTTATTTTATTTTATTTTATTTTATTTTATTTTATTTTATTTTATTTTATTTTATTTTATTTTATTTTATTTTATTTTATTTTATTAAAATTATTTGAATTTAATTTGCTCTATTTTACTTTGCCTTATGTATTTTCATTTTTTTATTATCGATTATTGGATATTGCGTATTGTTTTTGTCTTAGAAATTAATTGTAATAAACACGGTTTATAGTTTCACAAGCGTAAGCGCACTATATACACTTCATATGAAAATAGTTATATTATTTACATTTTTAATAATTAATTTTTTAATTTTTGGTTTTGCTGTAATCAAAGGTTTCTTAATTCCCATTGATATTTTTTATTTTATATTTAAAAGAGTAAATATGATTGCACTTATATCTATTAAAATTTGCACCTACGAATTTAAAGCGAGCGTGTCTTTAGAGAACGTTGAACGTACAAGAACTTAACATTTCACTATTTTCTGTTACCGTTACCGCAAATCGACCATCCATTCACTTTGGACCGCATCTCACGAATGAATTAATATATTTTGCATAGAAATCGACTATTTTGATTAACAAAAGCAAATTTGAGTGAAATAAGCAAATACTCGCGTGAAATTACACCCAAACATACATACTCATAAGCGTATAATACCGGCGATGATCCTCAAATGAGTCAACTAGATAGACAGCTATCCAGCCAACTCAGGCGTTTTGGCCATTTGCTTAGTTATATACACCAATGCAAGCATGTGTGCATGTGTGTGACTGGGAATATGACGGCGAGTTTATCTTCGCTTTGGCATTGAAAGTGTTGCTCGATTTTCTCATATGCTTCAATAAACCGAAATAACAATATCCAATTAAATACATATAATCATACATATATATATATATATTAACACATACATACATACATGTATCAATTTAATTGAAAGGTACGCAATAGAAATGTGTATGTTGGAAGAGCTAAGTTGTGGCACAAAGCAGAATCAAGCGAACAATTCAATTAGAATTGGTGGAAAGTCATCTGCAATCGACAAACAATTATACACATATTTATGCTAGAATTTATACACATATACAGACATATTTTGCAGTGAAAGTGAAAAGTGAGTTTTTTTCATCATACAAAAATAATTGAATGAATATAAACATATACATATATACATAGAAAATTTGAGTATCATATATATGAACAAAGATATTTCCAAAGGACAATAAACGCAAAAGTCAATGCCACCGGGGCAAGCCGACAGCAATCAACGAGAGAAGGTAATTGGCAGTTTTGAAATGAACTGTATAATTTGCTGATATATGAGAATGGCAATTTATTAAAATAAGAGCAGATCGAAATAAAAGTTGCAAGGCAAAATATAGATGAAAAAAATATATGTATCTTTATACAAAACATAAAATAAAATAAATAAAAGAAGAATAAAAAAATGGAAAATTAAAATAAAACAAAATGAATTAAAACAATTTCGTATAAAATAAAAAAAAAAATAAGTAAATAAAAAAAATCAAATAAAATAAAATAAATAATATAAAATAAAATAAAATAAAATAATATAAAATAAAATAAAATAATGTAAAATAAATTAAAATAAAATAAAATAAAATAAAATAAAATAAAATAAANGCGCTTTGTATACACATATGTTTGCCTAGAGGCTTCCAACGCTCTCCCTTCATTGGTTGACTCTTTGATCTCTGTAATTTCGCTAATAGCTCGCCAGCGCGCATTTATCAGTCGCACCACTAACAAGTAGTAGAAATTCTATTGTCAGCAATTACTATTGTGCTCTTATAAAAATAAAGGAGAAGCGACAACTGCAACAAAAACAAATAAGGAAGAGTTAAATTCGTGGTGGGATCAAGTAAGACAAGTGTGCGGTGCTACGAAAATTTGAATTAAATAAAAAAACAATGCAATAAAATAAAAAATATATGCAAAGAAATAACAACAAAAACAATAAAATAAAATAATGTAAAATCAAATAATATAAAATTAATTAAATTAAAATTATATGAAATAAGGTAAAGTAAGATAAATAAAAATAAAAAAAAAGAATTGAAAGAAATAAAATAAAATAAAAAAAAAATAAAATAAAATAAAATAAAATAAAATAAAATAAAATAAAATAAAATAAAATAAAATAAAATAAAATAAAATAAAATAATAAATATAAAAATAAATAAATGTTTGAAGGAGAAATATAAAATAAATTTAAAAGAGAATATAATGAAATTAAATGAAATAAAAACAAAATGGGATTGTAAACATATAATATTGTGGTTTTGGATTTTGAAACATTGTTAATTTAAATTGGGTTTTTTTCCATTAAAGCACCCAGTGTTTCTGTTTTGCTATATATTTATGTGGATAATATATATGTACCTAGTTTAGAAGGATACGAATATTTCTCTTTTTGAGTTTATCTTTCATTGCTCTACTGGAGACTATATAAATTACTAAATAATACATTTCAGGGACTATAGAATTTACATGGACTTCATCGTTAAGTATTCTGAAACAGTAGAAAGTGAAGCGTTAAAGAAAGCGATCCGTCCTAATTCTCGTATCCACGTGCGTTTAGGATGATATGCGAACGTGTTTGTTTTCCTGTTATGACCAAAACAAGGTGAAACCGAATGCAATCTTTTCAAAAGACAACAGACAAGTGGCGTCGGAATATTTGGCGACCACAACGAGAGAAGTAATGAGGAGACCACGAAAGGAGAAAACAAGGAAGATGATAATGACCGGGTAGGGATGGTTGAGCAGTATTGTGCTTTAGCAGATTTTGTCAACATGATAAAGCCGGCAAGTTCGTGAGTCGAGTATACAGCCAAAGTCAAAGCGACTCATTGTCACCACAAAAACATTACGAAAGCGAAAGCGAACTGCGAACTGGGAAGCGACCGCTGAACGAGCGGTGGGCAGACAACACGAATGCAAGCTGCAAATTTAGAATGCTTTCACGTTACGCAGCAGAGCCGTTTTGGTTGGAGCGTTTCAAAGAAATAACACTATCGAATTTTCCCACGCACTCGTTTCACTTGTTTTGTTTATATTGCTGACGGCGGCGGCAGCGCGCTTAGCCACTTGCTGCTGGCAACAATATTTTTGTTTGTTTAGCTCATACCCCTTACTCGACCGACAGGTAGCTCTTTACTTTTCGTTCTTTTTGCTTTCTCTATTTTCCCGATTATTTTCTTTAAATTTGACTTCCTTTTACAATTTTGGACTTTCGAAACGACTTTCAAATTTAAACTGCACACGCTCGTTTCTGGCGCACAACTGATGAGCCGTAGCTACCACAGCGGCTACCCAGAGCCAATATTGCAGCGTCGCCGCCGAGGCGCTGATTGCGACACAAGCATTCACACCCCAGCGGCGCCAAGTGTGGGCAATTTCAGTTCCTCACAGTACGCCTCGGTTCACATAGCAGTCAGCCGTACTGTGGGCGTTGCTTTTGGTTTTGATTTTTTGATTGCCAGTATTAGAGTGTTTTGCTGCTCGCTTGGTGCCTGCTTTACGGCTTGTTGTTGCCCTGGCTGCCTCGTTGGCTGCTCTGGGTTGGACTGCCTCGGTGGGTTTGGCTAGCAGAATGGCTGGCTAATATGGCATATGCGTTGCAAATGTGTCCCATCGCTTTTAATCAGTATTTCCTCCAAGTCGACAATAGAAAATACAAAAGAACTAAAATCTAATGGAAAGCTACAAAACACCCATACACATAGCCATGGGGTGACAAGCACATGGTGAAACAACAATAACGAATCCATGGAATTTATGAACACACACAACAGCGGGCAACATTTTGTGAAAGTAAGAGCAATAAAAATCTTACAAAAGAACGGAGGTTGCCGTACAAAGTTATGTACCGAAATAGCCGAAGCCAAAGCCAACCAACAGTCGCAATCGTCACATGCGCTTCAACCAAACCACACAAATTTAGTCGAATTTATATTTTCGGTATTTAGTATTTGTCCGTAGAAGGCACCCACAGTCAATCAGTTTGCTATTAACAGCTGCCAGCATTCGTCGTCGACGTCGGCGCAAGCTTCACTGCCGATGATAACCTGAATAAAGAGCAATCAACTGACAGGACATCACAACGAGTATTGGGTGTTGGACCATAACAATACCAAAACGTCAGCAACAGCACAAGAGTGACGAGTCGCATTTAAATCAGACGAAGAAAGCATTTCCATTGGCAATGCTTTCGAGTTGAGTTCAATTCAGTCACACATGTGAGCGGAAGGCCAGTGGCGTTCTGTTGTGCTATGCTTAATTTTATTGACCCCAGCGGTGGAATGTCAATTCCGCCGAGCGAATTTCTGACATGAAATAAAGGCTCCTCATAAAAAACTATCAGCCGTTCCGAGACGAAAATTCTCTGCTAAAATAGAGACAAGAAAACGCAAGATAACTAAGTATAGGTCAGACGAAGTACCACCCCCAATGCAAACGGAAGTTCGCCATGTTATTCCCATCGGGTTCTAGCGCAATTTACAACCTTTACAAATATTCAGTGAATGCCAATTTGCATATGGAACGATTACACTGTCTTTAAAGGCTTCTTCTAAGATTTCAGAACGGACATGTTTCCGTAGAGGACGAGCGCAAAAAGGTGGACCAAAGTCTTCCAAAACTAATAAAGGTCCTCGATTGACACAAGAAATGATTACCAAATTTTTTATTTTATTTTCCATAGTTACCATAAAAATCCCATCCGAAAAATTTGTTAATGGTTTACCAGGTGAGTAGCCGAAACAATTTTCCAATAGGGAAAGCTGTGAAATCGCTAGAGACGAGGTATGGTTAGAAACTTAGCGTGACGACGAGGATTTTCACCATCAGCATTATAGTTGCATCCAAGATTTCTTACAACGGTTTCCAAGTAATCGTATTGAATACATGTACAGAGAGAAATATCGACCACTTGCCGTCATATAAGGAGAGCAAAAGTCTCGGAAACATATCACGAAAATACTGGTGTAACAAACTACCTCTTTGCCTAAAATTATTGTTTTGGCATATACGGAGAAGCGATCTGATGTTGTTCGAGTTCTTGGAATCCCTTAATGGTGGGGCAACCCGATTAATAGTCAAACGCTGAAGGTTTCGTTGGAAAGATAAACTGCAAGAAAATTCCACGAGTCGATGACGTGCCAGCTAAGTCCTGTTGCCAGCATTCAACTGTGAGAGCGTCCTTAAGCTAAAGCAATTAGACGAAGCTTAGTTGGCAGGATATTCCTTTGTTTTCATTTTTCTTCAAAAATCTCACTACCAATGATCGAGAGTACTGCTTTCTTGGCCAATCTAGCGTTTTATGAGTAGGATGCCAGCAATCAAAGAATCTTTTCATTCCGAGCGTCATTTCAGTTAAGAATGTTACAGTAGCTTGTGTGGTGAGCTCAATTGAGTTCACTTCTTCTTAACCTGTTGCATCTTGCTGTTTTCTCCTGAAAAAAGTTGGCGAGAAGATTATAAAATGACGAATGTCGATCAAAAGATTGTCCCGTACTCAGTATGTCCTAATTAACAATTTTT